ACCATAGCGAGTTTGTTTGCCCGAAGGGCAAACAAACTCGCTAGTATGTCTATAAATGTAATGAAGCGGTTCAGTTCCGAATGGGTAATGCAATGAACAGAGGATTGTCTAGAAGACGTTTTGCTCAGGATAGACGATTCAAATTCCCACATACTAGACGGCCAACGTAGCGGCCGCAGGCCGCTAGTATACTTTAATTCGAAGAGCCTGAGAGTCGTCGTGGTTGTCACCCCAGACCGCGAGTCCTACGTGACTATGTCACTTCATGCCATAGGCCAGGCCAGCCACCCCTTTATGCGCCAGGTCCTTGAGGCTATGCTATTCTAGGCCATAGGCTTGGCCATCCAACACTTATAGCGCCAGCTATATCAGTCTGAGCCATTGGCTTAATACCTTGACACAGCTATCAAAGGGTGATAATTACTGGATACGTGTCAGGTTTTCACTGATCGACTGGAAGTTCTTCATTCGAATACATTCCTTGCTGCGGTGTCTTTTTATGTATTTATTTTCCGTCAGGTCAGACGTCGCGGTCCGCGCCATCGCTTCCACGCAATAGTTTTTTGTTTGCGTTTCATGTCCTGGACGATTTATTTAAATTCTCATGATTGATGAAGCCTATACAATAACGTAAGTTCTTTGTTTCATACGTCGCGTAAATGGGCCGCTCCTCCCATCAAAATGGTGGCAATTTTTGCTAGGTTAGGTTGAACATGTAAAAAAATGTTGAAAGAGGTCCCACAGGACGGCGATGAGGCAGAAATTGCTGATAAAAAATGGTTGGTGCTGGCGGGGAAGCAACGTTTGCCACTGCAGTTGCGGTGCGAAATGCCTAAATCGGTGCTAGCCGTAATGGCTAGAATCAGTGATGAGCAGAAAGCAGATGTGCGTAGGGCCTCTCAGACCGCTGAACAGCAAGAGGGAGCGAATGCTGAGCTCTGGAATAAGACCGCCGTGCAGCCAGCTAAGCAACTTGATGCAAGGAACGCAGCGCTCAGGTGTCGAAAGCCGGGGAGCGGCCGGGAATTAACCCGGTCCTCCTGCTTGCCGGTCAGGTGTGCTACCATTACACCACGGAACTCGGGATGTTATGCCTCTCCATGTTATCTCAATCATTACAGTTGTTGTCGCAGCGACCACTGTCAGGCTGTACATTTTGATTTAGGGAGGAGGCATTTCTTTCACAACGGAAAAATGCTCCTGCTGCAACTCACACTTCAGCACCAGTAAGCAACACTTTCAGAGCCTCAGAATAATGTGGTGGCGAGGCATTTTCTGGAATTAGTCACAAGCATTGTGCCGCGCGTGCTCTAAATTCTCTGTGGCTTCTATCAAGTTTTTGGAAATAATCAATACTGTTTCGGAATCATTGGTGTCTGTACCACATGGTAACGCTAATGGCCCATGAGCTAATCGGTGATACAAGAGTATTGAATGTGCTTGGGAGACGAAATCAGCAAAGTCGTCTTGAGTCTTATGAAAATGTTCTAAATCATTCACTATGAACGATTGTGGTAATCAGCTGGAATATTATGATGATGGTGTTTAGGAACAGAATTTCCCTGTATACTGTAAGCTATATGTGTATAAATGTAATGAAGCGATTTGGTTCCGATTGGGTAATGCGATTAACAAGTCTTGCCAAGTTTCACCTTTACATGTGTCTCTGATTGAAGCAAAGAGAACTATTTGAAAATATGTTCCCGGAATACGTGTGCCCCTCTGAATTGTATCACCAAAGTAGAATTTTTCCTAAACTCAGCATGCGAATAGCTACTTATTACGGTCAGCTACTCACGATCGTTTAAATATAATAAAAGTAGAATTTTTTCCTTACTCTGATATTCATTACTTACTTCTTTGCCAAGTTTTAACTTTTAGCGCCCTCTGTTTTGCTGGATCAGAAAAATTGTGAAAATACGCCTTCTGCAAAATATGTGCCCTGAGCCGTTGTAACCGAAAAGTAAAATTTCATTTTTTTTACGCAAATCCATCCTCAGTGAACTACATGTCCACATCGTTTCAATATAATTCGTTTGGCTCTTTTCGCTGGTGAAAAAAACATGTTTGGAATAATAGACCCACCCAAAAGCTGCCTGGAGGGGATGCACCATGAAAGCTGAATACTCCCTCATATCAATAATATCATGCCACTTATACGTGTGCCAAGGTTTTCCTTTCCATTTCTGTCCAATTCGCCACGACAATTTTTTTAGAACATCGCCCCTGAAAGAATTCCCTTAGTGGATGTATCGAGACTTAACATTTTTCTTTAACTTCTTGTCTAAGCAGTCGCACTCATGCAAAGTATCAGCAAACAAGCTCATATTCCTATTGAGAACCCTTTGGAACGCATGAGATTTAATCTGCATAGGATTTCTAGAATATACAGAGTGTCCGTGAACTTCATTCAATCACACCGCAATTAAATGAGGTAATAAGGGACTGATATCTCGGACACTACGGAACCTCGAAGAGGTGGTCCATCTGACGTGTGCTGTATTCAGTACAGGCAGAGATAGGTCAACGCCTGTACGAGAACGAAACGGCACACAGTATATGAGAACTTTAGTATTTGCATGACATCCCAATAACTTTTTTGATGGGAGCGTTTTTACTCACAGAAGAGGAGAGCAATTTTACTCCCTGGTAGTAGAGTAAATTCGCTCCTTTCCCAGAGTGAAAGGGGGTGAAACTGGGGTTAGCTATTTTACTCTCTTTTTTAGAAAAATCGCTCCCCCTTTTTTAAGAGTGTAGTGCCCACTTTAAGTTTCCCTCTTAGGTAAGGGGGAAGATAAATTAATATTATTGCTGGTAGGATCACCTATCCTAATGTGTGCAAGCTAAACATGAATATTAATGATAAGCAAAGGATGCATTCCTCCTATGAAGGTGAAAATAAATGGTGAAAATGGCTAATTTCATATTATTTTGCAGGAAAACATTCGGAAATGGTGGCCTTTTCATGATCCCTGTATTTACATTGGTCACAGTATTTGCAACCTTCACCCTTTACCGGGTCGGATTATGCTCTCTAATGGCAACTAAGAAGAAAACGTAACTTTTTCCCAATTACCATATGAAATCCAGGTGTGATATTACTTAACCTGCCAAATTGTAGGCTCGGAGAGTCATATGCATCCGATTGCTGATTTCTACTTTTTAAATCGTTGTTCGTCTTTTAGTACTTTCACTTAACTGTAACTAATACTTTCACATTTTTGAGAAAATGATGTCACATACCCAGCCATTCATGAGTCATGTCGTCCAAATGGTTTCGTGGAAGTGTTGGAATCTTAAAAATTCATTCACATTTTTCTGAGTGCGCCTCGAGATTGTCCAGATTGGAAGGCGTTGCGTCAACGAGAGAAAAACGAATCATTCCCACATGAGAGACACCATATTGACCTTATCGGCCGAACATGCCAGTTTCAGAATCACCTCGCTCGCAGAGCACTGTGTACTTATGCTGGACCAACTGACAGTAGTTTTCCTCAGTATTCGTTCTTCGTAGACTATGCAACCATCCACGCAAGCAAATGCGAAGCGTCATATCCCGATTTTCTTAGGATGCATCACATTTCCTATCATTCTGCTCTTGGCTCAATCACCTCATACCTCGTATTTTATAGTTTTATTAATATAGGAAATTACATTGTGAAAGTTCTGCTAAAGTTCTAGACCGGGATGTATCAGGCAGCACTCTGGTGGAGGACTATTCGCTTGAGACTCGTCCCTGCATCCCCTGCCCTCCAAGCCGTCGTGGGATCCAGAAGGCGATTCATAAAAAAATCCCCATCACGAAGTGGCTTCCCAGATACAACCTAACATGTCTGGTCTCCGACCTCATCGCAGGCTTGACCGTGGGACTTACCATCCTCCCGCAAGGTCTCGCCTACGCGGCCATCGCCAACCTCCCCGTCCAAGTGAGCTTTGACCATATTTCCTAAGTACCTTTATTGTGTCGTTGCAGGATGTTCACCACTCTACAGGGCAAAACATAAACCACATAAAATAACAGCAGGATAAAATAATCTACACCAATATGGAACTGACCAATGAACCTGAACTTATACAATAATGCATTTGTAATAGTAATCGCAAAACATGTTCGACTAAGCCAAGAAACAGGCATATATTCCGTAAAATTATCCAAGCTTAGGCAATTGGGACCTGGTTGGGACCTATGAGAAGTTAGTGCATGCAGATGAAGATAAGACCATGGGAAAATACTTTTGAACAAAATTGCGAAATTTAAAAACGATAGGAACTTCATTCTGTTCAGAAATAAGCTCCTTTACCATGTGTTCTCTTCCAACAAGAACGAGTTTAAAGTTTGAAATCTCATCAAGAAGGTCTCCATCGATGCATATTGCTTCCAAATTCGGGATGTTATTCATCGAAGGAAGCTATCGGTTTAAAATGTGAATTACATGCGCTTCTCCGGTGGTGCCCCTGTTTTTCGCGTCCTGTCATCAGCATTTTTCAAATGGAAGCCATGCATTATTTTATTCTTGTAAATAATATCTATTTTTTTTTATAGACTGGGAAATGAGTAGCACAATACAATTTTTCCAGGAAATTTAGCAATTGCATTTATTGTGACAAATTCACGTAGCGTCTACAATAAGAAAAAACGCAATGATAACGCTTGGGAATGTCACATTCGAGTCGCCATGTCGAGTTTCTTTCTTCTTCGCACAGTACGGCCTGTACTCCGGATTCATGGGATGCTTCGTGTACCTTTTCGTGGGGAGCGTGAAGGATGTCACGGTTGGACCCACAGCTGTCGTCTGCGTCGTGTTGGGACAGTTCGTCAATCATGATGCGTTAGGGGATCGGTTCGTGGAGTATGCGGTCTTCCTCTGCTTTCTCACTGGGGTCGTCGAAGTCTTACTCGGAATCACCAGACTCGGTAAACTGGCTGTCAGTAATGCTATCAGAGTGCAACAATTTCATCTCGATTTGATCGAAATTAAATCCATACACTATGATGAGCGATATCGAAACATCATAGCGATACCTTATTGCTTTGTCATCTCAATGCGATCAAACACAACGTGCTTCAGTAGACCCGAAGAAAAACTAATGGAGTACGAAATAATGATTGCATGTGTTGAATCAAGAAATGGGGTGGATATTGAGCGGGAGTAAAACGTATTGACGGAAACATTGTTTCCTTCGAGGCTTCAAATTTCGGTTTCAACTCTGAATTGCACGGCAGCCGATCGTCTGTTGCACAGTAGCTGATCGCATGCAGTGCTTGAAGTGATCAGGGGAGATTCCTCGAAATCTTAGAATTCTCCGAAAGCGTGTGCTACACATGCATGGAGAGAAGGCCTGGGAAATGCCATCTTGAAATTTGGCTAAGTTGCGTTCACCCACTTATTTTCAAATTCAAGGCCTACTCGATGTCGACGGAGTCGGATGCGGGTGAAAATCGCATGTTCGATTCGCAAGGACAACTGTATTTCGTCTTCTGCGAGTTATATCAGGAGAATGTGGGCCCGGTGAATTTCTCAGAATGGTGTTGACAGTTCCTGTAGCACGTAGAGTGAAAGTAAATCATGAACAAATGAAGAAATGGATTTAAAATATACTTTCCCGCAACCTTCCCAAAGTAAAAAGTAGTCCTGAAGCCGCTCCATACCTCGAAATAAGGCCCAGAAAAATGAAACGTTATGGTCAAGGGGGAAAGAGCCGCGAGTGACGAAATTTCAGCCTCTTTCATTCATGTATTCACATAGCGAGATGAAATCATCACGGCACCCCATTAACACAGACGTGTTGAATGCGAACTTTCTTATCGGTAATATTTATGTCAAACATGAAGGGCATAAGTCAGATCCGTCTCTGGAAATGCAATGTATACTGCGATATGCTGATGGCGGAAGACCTTTATATGCAGTCGAAGGAATAAACAGGACACTGCCTTATCTGGACTACTGCGTATTTACTCTCTAACGACTCCCTATGTTGCTTACATTTATTTTTCCAAAATGTGATCATAACTGTCAAAATCCGAAAATACTGGAAAATCCTCCTCCTGGAAAACATTATTCTGAGGCGACTTTGGTTTTTAAGGGTTGCGAGATCCTCGGATTCGTTTCCCCTTTAGTGGTCGTTATAGTTTTGATGCAAATGGTATATCGTCAAGGAAAAAAATTTAGAATAATTATTGAGTGGTAGATAAGATCCCATCCCATTAAAAAATTAAAACGGTTATGATTTTCCTTTTAAAAGTGAGTACCACAAAAACAAAGAAACGGGGAAAAGACCGATGTACACCCAGGTTCGCCACATCGCGGGTGAAGGAGAATTTTGTGATGCTTTGCAAATAATCACTCAGTACTCAATTCCGCAATGCTGAAGTAGGTAAAAGGTGTTCTTAATTAACATTCAGTTATTTAAGGGATGTTAATTTTTAGCTCCAGTTTTTCTGAAATAAATTTTTTAATGTTATGAAGCAATAATTGTTTGCTATTACTTCGATGCTGTTGACATTGAATGCCAACTTTCTAATGTGTGATTAGTCCTAGGTTTTACTTGCATTGGTAAGAACTCAGGAAAAAAGTATTGTCATGAAAACATTTGAAAAGTCCACAATTTTCCATATTAGATTTTCGGGCAATTCCAATTCCTTTCAAGATGATAATTTAGATTCAAACGACAATAGCATGAATGCCAATGCTACTGTACCCAGGTACCCAGGTTAAAAAGTTATAATGACAATACTACATTGTTACAAGCCATTTCGTGTATGGCGAGCGAGTGTTATGATGAGGAAAATCCGTTTTTTTTTCTCAGTTTTCAAATGTGCTGACAAATGTCTCCTTAAAATGTTAAAATATGCATGAAATGTGGATGCGAATGGAAATTATGCGAGGATGAGATTCGTTTATCCCAGAAAGGATTCCCAAAGTATCTCTATAAGACTCTTAACTTTGAACTTCGGTTAACCACAAGAGGAAGAATTGAAATGCTACTCCTGTGGGCCTTGAAGCATTCCGTTGCTTTCCATTTCCATTTTTTTCACCAGGAGTTCATGTTTTTCACTTTATCAAGGGATTTTCATTTTGTCTTTAAAGGTGAATAAGAGTAATTCACTTTCAATCACCCTCTTTAGGAACGTCCCCCATCAGGTTTAATCATTAGCCACTGAAAATGCTATTGTTTTCATGAAATACAGCAGCCAATATTTTGCCTGATTTCCCATCTCGCCGCTCGTCTCATACGAGTTGCTTTTTCGAAGATCACTTTTATATTTCACCTGTTACAGTAGCTTCGTTCTCTGAACTGGACATCGTTTATGTTACAATCTTTCCGGACAGGGTTTTTGATGAACTTCATCTCGACGCCAGTGATGTCGGGTTTCACTTCAGCAGCCGCGATCGTCATCTCCGTGACTCAGATCACGGAGCTCTTCGGTCTCTCATCCGTTGTTCACACTCACGACTTCATGAAGGTCCTCCAGGAAGTCGCCTATCACTTGAACGAGACCCACATGGAGGACCTCCTCACAGCCGCCATCACCATATGCGCTCTACTCTTTCTTCGGGTGAGATCTGTGACAAGAGCGAGCACTTCGATGAAAAGCATGTCAGCATGCAACATAGGTTAACCTAAGTTAACCATTTTTACCCATGGTACACATTTAAAGTAATTGTATCTCACCCTCCAACATATGGGTATGATGAAAGTCACACAATCTGTAACAGCAGAGATTACCTAACATCTGCACTACATATTGAATTTGAACGAACATCCAAGTTGCCCATAATATTTCGACGGAGAATTCAATGTCACGTACTATAATGGAAACATCCTCAGAGCAAACGCGGCATCGAATGCACTCCAACGAGGATGCAACAACAATTGATAATCACGTCGAGCACATTCCAGAAAGCCAAGATGTGGGACCTTTCAAAGGTGATCAGCCACCAGAGGACATTATCGGTGGTGAGCAACACGGTCTGGTTCATCTGCACGGCGCGGAACGCCATCGTCATGGTGCTGGGAGCGATCGTCGCTTACTTCGTCAACGGGAACGACTCCATGAAGCCCCTCTCCTTGACCGGTATGAAAGAAATTGAAGGGAGAAATATATGGGAAACAATATGCGAAGGTTAATATCCTGGTGAAGTTGACATCTAAGAGCGATATCCCTCTGAGAGATTTGATGCTTTCGCAAACAATCTCTAAAAGAACGAACGTATGAAGAGAGAACGTTTCCCTCATAAAACATGAGTGGTTGTGTGGAGATTTTTACAGATGGGAAATCACATGATGAGTTCAGGGTGGAGGGGGGAAATTAGCAAGCCAGGTCGGGCCGAAAGTAGACTTGATATATTGTTACTTGTGCTACTTGTTGGAGATTGAAATCTCAGGCATCTGGAGGCATAGGGAAGGACTCTTGGGTTGAGGAGGCGATCACATTCTCTCCGTTTTCCGAAGCAAGGATAGGAGCAATGCTGTCTTCAGAGTCAGCCGAAGTGGTGTTGGTGGTTTCGCACTTCGGGGCGAACGATACCACTAAATCTGGCTCTGTGACAATCAGTGCCAATCTCGATCAGATGATGAGGACGTGTCATGACGTTCGGGCAGAAGTAAAAGAGACGGTGAGTTTGATTCCGAACCGATTGGATGAGTGAATTATGACATTGTCATGATAGGAATGAGTTAGTTTTAGGTTGGCGGAGGCTTTTATCGTGGAGGAGGCGATATTTTTGGATACCAGGGAAGCTATGAGGCAATGGCCGAGAGCTGATGTGGTATTCGTTTCTCCAAGTAGAGAGCTAGAGTGGTAAGGCATGGAACAACCATATCGTGTGGTTCGAGACCACGACATGAGGAGAGCAGGAAATGCTGAAAACTACGTTGGCATTTCAATATGGATGAAATACGAGAGAGAACGATAGGAATCGGTTGCGATTTTGCTCGACATCACTGAGATTTGGGGGAACGAGGATATCGCGGATGAGGAATTCGAAGTACGTGGATTCGACCCATCCGTAATCTCGGAATCGAGGTGGGGTTCTGTTATGCATGAGAAACGAGCTAAGTGCCTCCAGTAGCGAGGATCCCTTTACGGTTAAGTGCTCCGGAATTGAAAATCGAACATAATGGTGTGAGACTGGCAGGGCGAGCAGTAGGATCCTGCTTGGAATCTCCTATAGGCTGCGCAATACGCCCCAAGATGATGAACTTGCATTACAAGCGACAATGAATAGAATTGGCGAGAAGTCAACGAATATCCTCCACGGAAAATATAAAATGCCCAGCATAAATTGGTTGGTGCCCAAGGTGGACGCGAGAGGGATAAGGCGCTATTAGATACGATTCAGGATGCCCTCTTTGTGAGTCAAAGAACCGACGAAATGTGGCGCGTTACAAGATTTTGGTGTAGACAGAGTGAGGAAAAAGTCAATAGTCGGAATTCCATTGTTCAATATTGAAAGAAATTTAATATTTATAGCCGTATTGGCTGTTATTTGCAAGAAAACACAAATAACACGGAAAAATAATCGTGAAATTTAATTTTAAAATCTCTTCTAAAAAAAAAGAACTCTGCAAAAAACAGCACGATATTAACGAAACGGCTGTTTTCATCGTACATGAACTGTATAGCAACTTTTGCCAAACCCAATACATGGACGACGATGTGGCACTCGAGGTTCAAGTCCAGGATGCGTTGTCAAGTCCAGGATACGGACTATGGCAGTCACGTGCGACGTCGAATGGTCGAAACGCATCCATAGGCCGAAGAAGGTTTCGTATGATTTTAGAAAAGCAGATTCCAGTTAACTACGGGATTGCATTTCCGAGGTGGAATTGGAAAAGGATCGCTATGAGGAGGAACGATGGAGGTAGCAGTGGCGGGTGTTCCGGACGATTCTGGTAGGTTCCGTGGAGGTTTGCATGCCCTAGACGTGGAATAGGTCACTCGGACAGCCAATGTGGCTTTCGAGAGAGTCGCTGATCAGACGTGAGAAGCTGAAACGGGATTCGTATTGGTGCATGGGTGATTGAACGGAATACGAGCAATATGGCGAAGCTATGACGTCATCGAAGCGTGAAATTGGTTCGGCGAAACGAGAGGTTGAGGAACGGCTTGGTATTACTGCCAAGAATGATCCTAAGCCTTTCATCGATCTGCCACCGTCAGAAAGAAACATTCGATCGAACCCCTCGATGACGCTCCGACAACGGTGGAACTCACCGCTTGGCGCGCCGACGAATCGACAATCGCCGAGGAAGGGATCACGAGTATGGCTGAAAAGGTGAAGGCAGGAAAAGCAACCGACCCAGATAGGATTTGGTTCCTGACGTGAAGGAACTCGCGAGGAAGCATCGCAATCGTTAAGATTAATATTCGAGAGAAGCTCTTTTTCTTGTCAACCCTAACGATTCAGACCAAAGTATAGTAAGAAAAACCAAGAAATTTTTTGGACGGGATCAAAGTATGTTTTCCATCGGGGAGGGGGGGGGGGGGAATTGTCTTATATCGCTATTCTTACCATGAGCGCTTTCTTTCGCTTGCCTTGTATTTTCTTGCCTTGTGAATTTTCCTCTCGCCAACATTGTCTTCAACGACTCCCATTTGTATATGTTAAATAACCTTTGTGCAAAATGCTTATTTTCTCCGCAGGAAATGCATCGAGCATACGCAGGGAACGGGAAAAAAAATCCACATTTATTTTTAAAAAAGCTTTTTTCTTCATGAGGGAAGAATTTTCGCAAAACTTTAAGCGGGCGTTCGTGAACATGTTTCCAACGTCTCCTCAAGTCTTCCTCGGAGTCTGTTGAGCTGAAGCGATACCTTCAGCAATTACAGGAAAATGAGTTCGCATTAAGAAGTGAATCTCCTTCATTTAAATTCGTATTTGGGCGAGTCACGTGGTTTTATGTGTTTATTTCCGATGAATAATATTAATATATGAATTGATTACTTCAGAGTTTCTAAATGTTAATTGAGAATTGTCAGCCTGATTCTGCTGGGTATGGTAATAATATAAACTACTTCGAGTGCATCTAATGATTGCCTCACTCATGTCCCACAAAATTTGCTGGGGATGTGCCTTGTCTTAATTCGTTTGAAATTCAAGAAGGGTGACATTTTGAGAATAGGTTAGGAACGTTTTCACGTATGGATAGTTGCCAAAAAAAAATCCATTGAGAGAGGAGAGATTTTGGTTAAATGTCGTTGGTTGTTTACACTGAGAGTGTCTCGTGGTAAGCGCTGAGGCGATTCATATTCACTATTGTTATATTTCTGCGAAGCTGGGAAAGGTGTGATACCCAAGATGTGAATGAAATGGGGCGCGTTCTGTTTCAAGAGTCACGTGGATGTCGCTCATTAATCGGTCTAATTAATTAAACAGGTAACGTGGTGCCCGGCATCCCGCCCGCCACCATCCCGCCGTTCGTGACGGGGGGAAATTTCCTGGAAAAAGTTTCGGAGCTGGGTCCGGCCATCATCATCGTCCCCGTAGTTGGGATCCTCGAGAGCATAGCCATCTCCAAAGCATTCGGTGAGGCCTGGAGCCTTCTTATGAGAACGCGAAACTCTTTATGGCTATGAGGATACACGACGCAAAATTAATTGTTCTTAAGTTCTTAATTTATTTTGAAAAATCCCAAATGTATGTCACTGAAAACCAAGAAAGAACAGTTATGATGAATCCCTTAAAATGAATGCATCACGGCACGATAGGACTTAAATAGTGAAGACACTTGATTTTCCACGTAGCTCGAGGGAAGGCGATCGACTTCAACCAGGAGATCTTCGCTCTGGGTCTCTGCAACTTGGCCGGGTCCTTCTTTTCCTCCGTTCCTACCAGTGGATCGTTGTGCAGAACTGTAGTGAATGCCGCGTCCGGCGTGAAGACTCCGGCCGGGGGAATTCTTACTGGTGAGTTTAACGCTATAGCATTCAAAACAATTGAGTTATTTTCCATCGATTGGAAATGGCGTTAACAGTACAAACGGCTTTCGGGATCATTTATCGTCTTTTTTCTTGCAATTATGACAATTTTCCTCCTGGACCTTCCGGTGGTTTTTTAAAATATATTTTCATTGTAAGTATTTAAAAAAAAAGTATTTATTCCGCAAATTGTGAAAAATGCCCTTTTATTGCGGTCATGATGAGCCTGGCCCTGCAGGGTCCTTGGTGCTGCTGGCATTGGCGATGCTCACGCCTTACTTCTTCTACATCCCCAAGGCCTGCCTGGCGGCCGTGATCATCTGCACGGTCATCTTCATGTTCGAGTACGAGGAATTTTTGAGGATTTGGAAAGTCAACCGTGAGTTTCAACATGTTTTAGAGTCGTTTTGCGCTCCACATAGGGAAGATACAATCCCAGAAATTGAAAAGCTCACTATCTAAGGTCATTCCTTGCATTAAAATGCAAATTGTGACGAATGCGAAATAAAATGTGGGGCTTTAAGTGGCATTTGCACACGAATTCCGCACCGCATCAATGCCAAAAAAAAGGCTGGAGATGGTACGTTGCTTTAATGCTTTAATCCGCAACTCCACTTTCTGGACTTTCGAAAACGTAACACTACAAGGTTTAATTTGGAGGAATTCGGAGGAAAACCCCGTTTATGTTCAACTGATTTACCACAGAACCAATCCAATGCTATTGAAACTTCCGAAGTCTAAGGATACAAATGGAAAAATACCGAATGTTTGGATTACATACATTTTCACATCGTACAAAGTTAAAATCACCCTGTCATCCGGAAGGGGGAATTGCATCGCTCGACCGACGCTAATGCAATATCAAACTTAAAGAGATTTTCCTGCTGCATTGGATTGTTTTTATGGATCTTGATTACACATATTTGCCATATTAGTGTATATGAAAGTACCGCTTCCATGTTTAGGCTGACGAGCGAAAAGTAAACATATGTAATGGGTGCGGCAGAATAAGTGGCGGAATCAGGATTTTACCTCCGTATCATACATATTTCGTTGCTTTGACTTGAACGTTTTACTCAAAGATTATCCATACAAATCTCCACAAAGCAGTGCATCTGGTCTTGCATATGCATGCAACGTTTCTTTTCAGGTCAAGGAGCGTAAAGAGATAACAAACTTTGTTCTTTCTAAACGCGAAAATGGAAACGATCGATCGAAAATCTTCCGCGATTTGTACGGAGCCCTTAGTATGTCCACAATCAATCGATGGTGCAATATCACCTCCGAGTCTGGCTCTATCGAGACGCCGAGTCCCCCTGAATGTCCATGCCCGGCTCGATCGAAGACAACCATTCAGGAGGTGAAACGGGAGAAACGCGTTTCTGTGCGAAAGTAGGCCAGCGAACATTTCGGAGCGTACCGTTCGTCTAATGTTCAATAGTGATCTCCAGCTACGGCCCAGCTAGGAGGCCGTTAAAACTACTCCTCACCCACGGCCACAAGGCCAAGTGGATGAGGTTTGTCTGTTGAGTGCGCAAAGAATGCACCGCAAGAAGACACCGATGCGCAACCCCTGAACAGTAGATGCGCATCATAACTCCCAAAACGATCGAGTATGGGCAGTAGACCGTGCTGAAGCCGACGAGGACTGCTCGCTTAACTCCTGCATGAAAAATGGTGGTGAATATTTGCCTTTCAAAAAGCATGTGTTTTTGTGGAGAACTGAAAGAGGTATCTTCGAAGAAAAAAAATTCAAGCTGAATCGACGAAAAATAGATGATATATAAACGGAATACTGACTCTGCCATTTATTCTTCCGCACCTGTTATAGCAATAATCGAAGTAGAAAAATTTGCAACGCGGGTGATATTAACTAATGAAGTGACATTGAAAATAACCATGAACATCGAAGTAATGTCCAATGTTCAACCTCCTACACACATACAAAATTAAATCAATGCTTTTTTGCTTGCCAAAGCTATTGTTGGGAGGAATGTCCATCATATTTGGCCATGATATTACTTTTTGTGTTTTAAAATGTACTTTGCCCTTGTGAGGTGAAGCGCGTCAACCGTTTATCCAACCTTGTTTTTGAACGAGTCGACAACCTCCCTTTGCAGGATTAGAGTTAGTTCCTTGGTTGGCCACATTCTTTCCAAGCATTCTGCTGGGACTCCACTACGGCATCGTGGTGGGAGTGGTGGTCGATCTGGTCCAGCTCCTTTTCGATATCGCCCGGCCGAAGGTGGTCATGCAGAAGAGACAGGTATGCGGGATTCCAGAGTCGCATTTTTTTTGCTTTTGGAGAAGCTCTGCGAACGCATGGGTTAGACGAATGTTATAAGAGTGAGTCTTGAATGGCACCAGCCATTTAAATGAAAAAGGAAACTAAATTAGGTGGTAATGTTGGATACAACTTACAGATTGTAAATTCAAGAATAACTAAGATCATATGCATTAAGAATGATACAAATTTGGCTTTCCAGTCGAGAGTGATTTGTTGGAAGCAGTCATCAAGAATAAGTTGCATGAAGATTAAAGTAAAAGTGAGGAAAAGAGATGGGACGAATTCTGAAGCCAGAAGTTTTTTTTTCGCAGGATTTCGCCATGATCTTCTGGTTTATTGCAGATAGAAGGTCATAATTACTTGGTAATCAAGCCGGAGGGTCCGAACCTGTTCCCAGCCACGGAGCAAGTTCGCACCGCCCTCATTAAGAGGTCCGGAAAGAACCTCGACATCCCAGTCATCTTCGACTGCGAGAAAGTGACGTCCATCGACTTCACCTCCGCCAAGGTGAGAGGGGAAGACGCGAGGAAATGAATCGGACGAGCTTGTTAATCGCGGATTCTTCACCAGGTTATTGAGGCGACATTATTTGACCTTGAGGAGCGAGGCCAAGAGCTGGTGTTTGTCCATGCGGATGACCGGATCAAAAAGATTCTCGAGGCGGAGCTCGGTTCCAAATTGCGCTCCTTCGAGAACTATAGCGATTGGGTTGCGGCCACCTATACACCGAGAAGTAAGCTATTTATTTATTCATTGGCTATTTGTCGTTCTAAGGTGTGGCAAGCAGGGAAGCTGGATTGCAAATTTTCCACTCTTTACCAAGCCCATCCCTTTGACGCATTGCCCTGCATATGGCACTCCGCTATCGCTTATCGCTTATATCATGCGAAATGCAGTCTTCATTGTAGGTAGCGGAATCAACGACTGGGATTTAACAATAAAAATGATCATGAATAGTTGCATGAAGGTTTCATAGTCGTCCAGCATAAGCAGCTTTTTCCTGATGCAACCCTCCTTTACAAGCATGGTTATTCTCATCTGACCCTTCAATATTTGTCGACGTTTCTCGGCCGGATAAAATCGCAGTACAACTGCACTCCCAAACAATATTGAGAAGTAAGATTGATAATGCTGAGGTTCACCTCATATTCAAAGGTTATTAAATTATAGGAAGACAATATTCTACTGAAAACCTCCAAGTCCTCCTGCTATGCAATCCTTTGCGAGCATCGTCATATCTGACTTTGCCCTTTTCGTGAGAAATAAAAATTCGTGGCGCACCAAGTGATCCGAAAAAGTCTGTCAATCAGAAGTGAGCTTGCAGGTGAGAGTTTCCTTGGAATATCTGTTTCCTGCAGGGATTATGATGACGGTTAGCGACCTGAATAAGCACGTATTATTCAATAGTTCTGTGGATTTGGTGAATTATACAGAAAAGGCGAACGCGGTGAAGAACAAAAAAAATGGAATTGAACAAGATCTTTTCACAAGTTCAGGAGTTTTCCAGCTCCCTCAAACTCCTGCACTGACTATTCATTTCCTGTGTGTGTTATAGTGACCAGTCTGAAAAAGAAGCCGATGCGATCGATCTCGAGGATCATCTCCGTGCATGGCGAGACTGTCGTGGAGCCCATAGACTACAGAGCCTTCTTCGAGGAGGGAAACCCATGAACGGCATGGAAACAACTTCTCCATCCTTTTTTCGTCTGATTAATCTAGTGAAGAAATAGAGAAATACGCCATTAGTAGCCAAGAGATGAATGTATCCGAAGATTCCAGGCCTGAAGCAGTGGATTTGGCATCTTCCTGACCTAAAGGTTGCCATCCCTGCTTTTAATGGAGCCCTTGCGAAACGACAGTCGATTCAAGCGCAAAAAAATTCATTCATGAGAGCCCAAAAACCATCACCTTGCCTTTTCAAATGCCATTGCTGAATGGAAAGTTAAAAAAAAATTATTTCAACCACAAATTCCGCACATTTTAAATAGAAAAAATACCATTTTCGCGGTTAGATTGACAGGATTTATTTTATGCCGGAGATCACCATCAACGTGTAATTAAGTTGAAAACCACTTATGATTCTAAACGTTGCTTCGGCCTTTCTTCCCTGTCCTCATTTCTTTGCACTTTCTCCTCGGTATTTTCGAGGAGTGAAAAATGTCATTCCGTGTTAGTGGTGCTTGAAAAATAGTAGCTCGTATATTTTAGCAAAATTGTGGAAGCTTTGATTGTTGCATTGTGAACATGAATTCAATATTTTGAATTACCTTTAAATTAGTTCTTGAATTAGTTTTATTGAGGGGATTCACCCAATATGTATAGGATTATGATTAAGATAAGGAATGTGAACATATTACATTCGTAGTCAAACTATGTGTTCTTCACTGCTTTTGACTGAAGGCGACATTGTTTCACCACATACCTTCTTCGTCGCATCTTACCACGATGTACCCAGAATGCCATATGACCGTCATCTTCATAGCTACGTGCAAACGTTTCTCGAAAACAAAGTTATCGATAAGTCTCCCTGTGCGCTTGCCATGGACATCCTTTCCCATCGGATCTGCCCAAAGACACCTTGTCTTGTCGTCAAATATTTCTTCATTTGCACGTTCTTTCTTGGGCTTCGCCATCTGAGTCTTGAAAACATACCGATGGCCACCGACAATGATTGTGTTATAACCTCCTTAGATACAAAGGGTTGTCGATGCATCGGTGTGACCCTAGTTATTTTCTAAAGTAAGTTGGTACATTAAGGTCATTGATGTAAGCATATCATCCATACCAAAAAAGGCGTTATATCACAAAAATGCACTAATTGTTTACCAGATATGCTACAAAAGTATAGAATGTAATATGTAACAGGACAAGGGAAACGTGAAGGACGACGGAATGGATGATTCATGTTTATCATTTCATGAGACCAATATTTTTGGCTGAAACAGGATTTCCCATATTTTCTTTAATGTACGTGGCGAAGGGAACCACAGGAGATTTTCAAAAGTTAAAAAAATATCATATACCGTGACATCTTCCCCTTCCTTCCAACTTGGGCGAATGAAAAATCGCATTACACCACCAAGAGGAGAACG